TGACCTAGATTGAGTTCTTAATTGTGTTCAGTTCTCAGTTTAAAAGTCGCCTCAGTGAGCCCCTTCCTGGTTCCCATTTCTGACAGATCTTTTCTCATCTTCCTTTCTACATTTATGCTGCATTGTCCCCACTCCACCCCATCATACTAATTGTTAGCTTACATTTTATGTGCATGTAAGTAAAGCATACGTTCCATGACACCAGAATTTTAATTTGTAATATCCTGGTGTTGCATTGTGGGATAAAGCACTGGATCACAAGGTCTGTTTGAACCTCAGCAGGTTCAGGCTCACCAGCTGCTCCTTGGAAACCCTACACAGGGTCACTGTGAGTCAGACTTCACAACAACATATAGCTAAGGGCTGGACATAGTAGGAGCTCAGTAAGTACTTGTTGAATAAAAGAATTTGCTGTGTCCTGTGCCTTCAAGTATTAAATTAATCAAAATTGCAAATAATAGAAACCCCAAACTTCTTACATAGAAAGAATGAAGCAATATTTATTTAGTTTCACAAACACAAAAGATTTTCATTGAATTTTAGTTTGATTGCACTCAGCCAACATTTACTCATCTTTGTGAGTAGTAGACACTGTACTAGACACTAGGTTAGAAACCTACATAACATACACTCCTTGTGTTCATAAATTTTAGTGTAGCCAGGAAGAAAATATGTAACCAAATGTTGTTAAGTGCCATCAGCAACTGGTGAGTTTGAACTGCTAGCCTTGTGGTTCAAACTGACCTTGCGGTCAAGTATTTTATCCTACATCACCACACCAAGACTGTGTATGCTAAACACTATATAATAATGAAGAAAACGTTAATTTTCTTTTGAGAAATCCTCTTCATTTTTGTTGAGAAAGTAAAGAATTCTCAACCAAAAATGATCTGGAGTTGCCAGTAGTAGTGCCATTGTTGTTGTTAAGTACCCTCGAGTCAGTTCCGACCCTGTAAAGGGTTTCTGAGGAGCCACTGGTGGGTTTGAACTGCTGACCTTATGGTTTAAACCAGCCTGTAATCCAGTGCTTTATCCTACAGCACCACATCTAAAAGGAGTCCTGGTGGCACATTGGTTAATGCGCATGACCTCTAGTCAAAATGTTGGTGGTTCCAAGCCCCCAGCCATGCATAGGAGAAAGATGTGGCAGTTGGCTTCCATAAAGAGTTATAGCCTGGAAAGTCCTATGGGAGCAGTTCTCCTGTATACTGTAGGGTCACTGTGAGTTTGAATCATTTAGATGGCAGTGGGTTTGGGGTTTGGGTGATTACATTTGGTCATTCTCAGATTTGTAGGGCTTGATAGATTATATTATCTCTGAATTGTTCCTGGTGCCTAACAGTGAATAGTTTATGAGTTGGATAGCTTCAATAAGCAGTTCTATACTAGCTACAGAATTCTAAGTGGTTATCTCAAGTCCGTGGTTCTCAGTGTGTGTGCATTGGATGAGTAGCATCTGGGAATGTTCAGGCCTTACCCTTGACTGACTGACAGAAACTCTGGGGAATGGGATGGGGCTCAGCAGTGTTGTGTTTGAAAGCCGCCCTCCCAGTGATTCTAGTGCATACTAAAGTTTGAGAGCACTCTTAGATCCTTTTATGTAAGATCATTTTATGTAAACAATGTATTGTCACTTAGATTTGCTTTGTTTTGTATGCTACATATTAAAGAAGTTTAACATTTATGGCACACTTAAATGAGAATATAAATTGAACTCAAAGACATTCTAATTTTATTTTGATCTATTTGAGCTTGTAGATGTTTGTCCTTTGTACATACTTGTCTTAAGTTCCTGCATCTAGAGATTTGTTTCTAATTATTTACATTAGACAGGAATAGTATTGGTGCAAAGTTTCCTGCATTTAATTTTTAAATTAAATTCCTTTTTTTTAAGTCGATTCTTAGTGATTAAAATTTAAGTCGCTGTTCCACTGTTCAGAACATTATCTTACAGAAACACCTGTTAGAATTTTGGAGAATGATGTATATTTTGACCTAAAGGAGCTCTGGTAGCGTAGTGGTTACGAATCGGGCTGTGAACCGCAAGGTCAGCAGTTTGAAACTACCAGCTGTTCCGCGGGAGAAAGATGAGGCTTTCTGCTCCCATAAAGATTTCCAGCCTCGGAAACCCTGTAGAGGGTCGCTATGAGTTGGAACCACTCCACGGCACATGACAACAACAACAACAACATACTATATACTGCCTCCTATAGTAGTATTGTGATGCTGTGGGTTAATGCACTGGACTGCAAAGTTGGCAGTTCAAGCTCAACAGCCACTCCTTGGAAACCCTATACAGGGTCGTTATGGGTCAGAAACAACTCGATGGCACTTAACAACAACAATAGGATAAAGCACAAAATATCTCTGGGTTAAAATAAAAGCCGAAGCTCTGAAGTCAACTTCTGTTTTGAGTTTCCTGGCTTGAAATTTATTGTGTACATTGGATAAACTGTCTCTGAAACCTCTCTGAGCACCATTGTCCTCAACATGTGTAACTGGGACTGGCACATTAGCCAGAACATAGAGCCCTGTAAGGACTTAAATATGATGGTGCCATCATTGTGTAATGGTGGTGATAGAGCCAATAGGGGCTAGAGGTAGTGTTTCTACCAATGTCTCAGGGGATATGATGTGCACATTTATAACAGCAAAAGCAATTGGAAATAACTCTGATATTCAGCATTGGAGAAAAGGATACAATAATTCTAGTGTATCAGTACAATAAGCTTCATGCAGCCATTAAAAAGAATAAAGTAGAACAAAGTGTTGTGTCAGGAAAAGATACCCATAATATATGACGTGAATAAAAGTACAGCTTAAGCATGAGCTCGTTGAGTATGCGTGTATATTAAATGTACCTGCAAACAATTCCAGAAGTGTGTCACAAAAACGGAAATCATTTATTCCCACCTCATCTATCCAGGGGGGTGGACTATAACAAACTTTCTTTTTTGTGTTATAGATTTCAATAATTTAAAAAAGTTAATTAATGCGTACAAACTAATAACAAAGAATAAGAGGCAATAGGCACTAGATTAGTAATTTCCATCATTGGCATATTCTGTTTAACATTTGGACATAATATAGAAACAATGTAATTTTTAACTAATTTATAGAAAATTGAAAGTATTAATTAAAAGGTAGGGCATTCATTATCTCATTAACTATTTATTGAGCACCTAGTCAGGTTTTCATCTACAAGTTTGAAAAGGTGAGTGCCCTGGTCATTAACCACCTATGAAAAGATGTAAACAAAGTAATTACAATTCTTTCTATTAAGTGCTTCTGCAAATAAGGAGGAAACTAATAATTCTGTCTACCATAATTAGAACAGGCTGAATGGAAAAGCTGACATCTGGTCTCTTGCAGAATGAATAAGAGTTTTTAAGAGAGAAAAGGATGTTTGTGATAATAGGAGCAGTACCTATTACCTAAAAGATGGCATTATTTCCTGAAAAGTTTGAGGTTGGCTTTAACTACTGACACAAAAAGAAGGAGTTTATCCCATTTTTTGCGTAGGAAGAATACTCAGTCTCTTGTCTTGGATACAGAAGATGACAGGAAAGAGGTGTACTTGTGAAGCAGAGTGGCATATGACTCAGACTGCCTGGGTTTGAGTCATCATCTCTAACACTTAACTAGCTTTAAGATCTTGTACCACACTTAAACCACTTTGTGCCTCAGTTTCTTCATAGGTTATTGTAAGGATTCAGTGAATTAATGTACATAGTATAGTCAAACATAGTGATTGACACATTGCAACTACACAGTTCATCTTAGTCCACAGGTTTTAGGCATATCTTCAGACTTTCAATGTATAAGTTGCCTTTCCTGACTCCTGGTGGGGATGGAAAGGAGGAAGGGGACAAAGGAATCAGGAGCAGTTAAACGTGAATTTGGTAATTAATTAATTCTAGGCGCCACTTTCCATTGCTGTTAACCTCCCCAAAGCAATTAATTGTCTTGCTTCCCTAACCAAAACCACACCCATTGCCTGCAAGACAGTTCTGACTCATAAGACACTATAGGACACAGTAGAACTGTCCCACAGGGTTTCCAAGGCTGTAAATTTTTAAGTGGAATCCTGGTGTGGCGATGTAGCATAAGCACTGAAATGAAAGGTCGGTTTGAACCAGATGGCCAGTGGTTCAGACTCACCAGTCTCTCCTTGCTATGGTTCAGAATCGACTCAGTAGCGTTTACCAGCAACAACAACAAATTTGTAAGGAGGCTGCCTGCCACATCTTTCTTCTAATGACTTTAGTTTTATCTCCCAGTTTTTCCTTAATCTGAGCTTTTCAGGGTACCCTGCTTTCTTTCTTCCTGAAAAAAATCTATCTTCCAATAGCTTTAACTCTTAATCTCTTAAACTTCCCAAATCTTTGACATTCTTCAATTTACAGCCACCATCCCCACCTCTTAGTAATTTCTTGAGTGCTTAAAAATAAGGGTGTTTTTTTTTTTAATTGTAGGTTTTTCTATTACAATTTTCTTGTTGTGAGCCAGTTACATAAAAGGAAATAAATGGAACTTGGCAGGCTTAACTAACGTGTGCATTAGATTAAATAGAATGTTTATTTAGATGGCTTGAAAACACATGCATATATCCCTCATTAAAGAGCAGCGGAGTCCCGAGGAAAATACTGTTACCATATCCATTTGGTTGAAAGCGGTTCTTGAACCACAGTACCACCATGCCTTGCATTAACAATAATGATAATTATTTTAGGTCATGACTTTCACAAGAAAATTTTTGAAGAGCAGACTCTTTTTTTCATGTTTGGCTTCGGGGATGTTGGTTGTATTACATGGTGGTTTCTTTTTAGTGGAAAAGAATTGGGCATATAGGTTTACCTTTCTTTGAACACATGCTTAAATCTGTTTGAATGAATTGTTTTATGTCAAGATGTCTTTTCTTTTAAATTAGTAGCCCTTCCAATTTTTTTTTTTAGCTGCACCAAATGAAAACCAACCATGATTGTTTTTCTGTATTATAGGTCCTCTTCCTGATGGATGGGAACAAGCCATGACTCAGGATGGAGAAATTTACTATATAAACCATAAGAACAAGACCACCTCTTGGCTAGACCCAAGGCTTGACCCTCGTTTTGGTAAAGGTTCACCTCAAAACCTTTTAAAATATTTTTGATTACCTTTTTTTTGGTTATGTGCATTGGGAAAGGTACATTTTAAATAAAACAGCATTGTTTTTATACTATTGAAAGTAACTCCCCACCCAACATTTTCTAGTAATATCTTTATACTCTTCACTTTAAATTTGAGAAATTCAGGTCTAGGTTTTTTGGAGTTTTTTTTTTTGCCTGGGCTCTTTGGGATGGGGGTGGAAGAATGGATGTTAGGGTAGTTTAACAAACCAGAATCAATGCTCCTTTCACATTTTCGGAGATACAGTGGTCTTGCTTAAGTGACCTTTCTAGCTGCAATAATAATCACACTGTCACACTACATTTACAACCTGGAATACCAGCTTTGTTAGTGACCTGGGGTCTGCTTATGCTTAACTTCTGAGAGTGATGAATACCATCTCCTCTCTGAGTATTTTAGTGTTTCCCATCCTAATGGTCCAATGAAAACACTGTTTCTCTCTCTTCTCTTCTGGCTTTTTATGTTTCTTTCATTTTCTAAAAAAGTGTATGTCATTTTCTCTGTTTTTCATTAAGTAAAACAAAAAGTAAGCCATCTTCCTCCCCAGATCACATGGATAAATCACCCTTTGCACACAAAAACACACACACAACCTTTTGTCCCAGATGTGTACATTTTGATAAAGATACACAAATTCTTCATTGCCTTTTTTTTTTTTTTAACTGTTTTCAGTTTTTGTAGTTGGGTTTCTGAGGTATTTTTTCAAAGCCATGGAAAAATGAATCTAAAAAGGAGCAGATCATTGTGGTTTTGAAGCTTTCGTCTTAGGCTGGAGGCAGCTAAATGAAAACAGTGTGCAGATCACTGAGTAGGTCAGACTGAGGGGACGCAGAGCCTTTGAAGCTTAACAGGGGTTGACCTAACAACTGTGGGGCCCTTTACGGGAAAGAGGAATTAACTCTATGGATGCCATCAAAACACAACCCTGGAAAGGGAGGTGGGGACAAGGGAAGGAAAAAGAAAAATCCTACTAGTTGGACAAAATAACTTCCCTGTCAGGACCATTATGAACAATTCTCTATGTCTTTATATATACTTGAAAAACAAAAAATCCAAAACTTAGCTTTCCCCCAAACTGACTGACTGGTCAGCTTTATGGATTGAGCCCACTATTCAAATAACGAAAAGGTGGAGTCCAGGGCAAAAAGTGTCATTTTGACAGATATCCGGTTTAGCTTAAAGACTAGCTTTTCAGACCTGTTTGGGTGTTGAAAATTATGTGGCATGTTAATAATTTGCAACTTCAGATCTTAAGTAATACTTGAATAAGGTCTTGTGGTTGAATCTGGAAACCTTAGGTAGATAATTTAATAAATAATTGGCATTTGTAGATACCTGCCATGTTTCCTTAAAATTATTTGTAATGAAATGATTTCAGTATTAGAAAGATGATTAACTCTTAGCTAACACAGAGATCAGAAAATAGAAATATCCTCTTTTTAAAAAACTAAATATTTTCAGTTAGAACAATGAAATAATGAAACAACATTCTGTGAGCTTAAGTAGATGCATTGATTGTACAGATTTGGATTTTTTTTTTTTTTAAGAAGGGGGAAATACTAAAAAATAGAAACTGTTTATCTCCAACATATATGAACATACAACTATACAATTAGATATGCCACCCAAAAAAAGTCTCATAATGTGTTTTTTTTTATTTTTATTTAACTGCCTTTAGTTTTCCCTTTTTGGGCCCACTGTGTATGTATATTCCAGACAGGCTTGACAACATGCCAAAGCTTTTTATTTTGTGGCTGACTTTTAATCTGTTCCAGACCTTTTCAGTCAGAGAGCTCAAGTGTAACTGAAGGGGGAGGGGGGCGCAGGAAAGGAAAAAAAAAAAGTGGGTTTCTCTGATGTAGAGTGACAGCAAATAAAGACAAGCTGTTAGTTGCTGAATTTGAAGGGGTCTTCCTTGAAATCTGAAGTTCTGTGTAGTAGATTACATTTTATCTCTGCCAAAGAAATATAAACTATTCCCTTCTTTTTTGACCCTTTGAGTCATGCAAACATAAACAAATAGCAGATTATTGCTTTCATGGTGTAGAGTTTGCTTTTCTGTATTTCCTAAATCTGTATTAAGGTATCATTTGCTAGCTTGAGTCAAACTGGCCGTTTTGAATTTTGAAATGGATGATTCACTTGCTTAATTTTATTGGTCACCTCCTTCCAACGTCTCTGGTAGTGTAGTGGTTACGAATTGGGCTGCTACTCTCACAATCAGCAGTTCGAAACCACCGGCTGTTCCACAGGAGAAAGATGAGGCTTTCTGTTCCTGTAAAGATTTACAGCCTCAGAAACTCTGTACAGGGCTGCTATGAATCAGAACTGATGCCATGGCACATAACAACAACAACAACAACAACATTCTTCATCAAAAGGGTATTGGTATAGTGGGCTGCAGGTTAGGGTGCTAACCACAAGGTCAGCAGTTCAAATCCACTAGCTTCTCTACAGGAGAGAGAGATGCGGCTTTCTGCTCCCATAAAGATGTACAGCCTCTGGAATGCTATACAGGGTCACTGTGTGTCGGAATCGTCTTGACAGTAGACAGTTTACTTTAGAGTATTCAAAGAATTTATCAGTATATCCATCATGAAGTTAATAAATTATCCACATAATTTTAGGAAATTAAATAGTGACATGTTGTGGATTGGTTCTTTAATTTCCTGTCTCTTTAACACTTAAAATGTTGTTGTTGTTAGGTGCCATCAAATCAGCACTGACTCACAGCGACCCTATGCACATGAGAATGAAACACCTGCCCAGTCCCGCGCTAACCTCACAATCATTGATAAGCCTGAGCCCATCGCTGCTGCCACTGTGCTAATCCATCTCGGTGGTCTTCCTCTTTTATCTCCGATCCTCCACTTTACCAAACATGATATCCTTCTCCAGGGACTGGTCCCTCCTAATAAAATGTCTGAAGTATGAGAGCCATCCTGGTTTCCAAGGAGCATTCTGTCTGTACTTCTTTCAACACAAATTGGTTTGTTCTTTTGGCAATCCATGGTACTTTTAATATTCTCCTCCAACATCATAATTCAAACTACGGTAACATTGATGTGGTGCTTCCGGTTAATATGCTGTGTCTGCAAGGTCAGTTTGAACAGCAAGGCCAGAATTGACTCGACAGCACTTAACAAAAACAGTAATCACTGGCATTCATATTGTCTTAGAGATTTTACTCGTAATTTGTAACAAATCATGAAATTACATCTAATTGAGTTTAAACTCTGAGTTTACTGATACTTCTTGAGCTTTGAAAAATATAGGTTTGTTTTTTTTAGAGTTATATTAGAAATGTATTAACCCTGTTTTAAAGAACAAGGTTCCTCGAGTATTATTAGTCACATAAGAGGCCTTCTTTTTGCCCCTGGAGATTTTGTACAGGTAAACATGTAGATCCTGAAGTTTCTTTCTTTGTACAGTGTAGAATTTTTATTTTATATGATAAAGTCATGAGTATTTTCGAGTCAAAGCCTTAATAAAGACACAGTAAAACTGTAATTTCTATTATTTAAAATGAAAGAATAAAGACCAAGGAGCCCTGGTGTGGCGCTATGGGTTTATGTGCCAGACTGCAAAGCCATTTGAACTGCTAGGTCGGCGGTTCAAGCTCAACAGCTGCTCCTTGGAAACCCAATACAGGGTCTCCATGGGTTAGAACCAACTCAATGGCACTTAACAATAACAACAAATACCTAAAAATTGTTCTCAGAGTTAATGAACTAATATTGTATGTAATCTTGTCCCTGTTATTTACATGAAAGACCTTTTAAAAAAATAAAACGCAACAGCTTTTTATTGTGACTTGAGTGGTTAAGGGTTACAGAGCAGATCATCAGTTTTACATTCAGCGAATTCTATTCTTTGCTTCATATATTAAGACTATTAAATGGTGTTAGCATTCTGTTCATCTGAAAATTAAGTTCTTATAACACCACTTGGATAAAATGAACAATAACAACAAACATTTGGTTTAAAGGAAAAATACTGAATCCATAGATATTTGAGGTAGGGAGGGTGAGAGGGCTTGTATCTTTGAAATTTTAAAGGAAGTCATGAAAATCTAATGTGGTCAAAACAGTATTCTGTAATTACAAGGCACTAAGGAGCTCTGGTGCTGCGCACCTTAAGGTCAGCAGTTTGAAAAAAGATGGGGCTTTCTGCTCCCGTAAAGAATTACAGCCTCTGAAACCCTGTATCGGGTCGCTGTGAGTCGGACCCGACTCCATGGTACTAAGGAGCTCTGGTAAGCATAGTGGTTACGAATTGGGCTGCTAACCTCAAGGTTGGCAGTTCAAAACTAACAGCTGTTCTGTGGGAGAAAGAGTTACAACCTCAGAAACCCTGTCGCTATGGGTTGGAACCGACTTGATGGCACTTAACAACAAGTAGTTAATGGACTTCTGGTGTGGCGCTGTAGGATCAGCAGTGGATTGTAAACTACAAGGTCAGCAGTTCAAACCTGCATCGGGTCGCTATGAGTTGATACTGACTTGATGGTATTTAACAAGAAGAAATAGTTAACATAGTCCTCTACCAAATATGCCTGACAGTTTAAGAGCACTAGAGAAGAATTGTAAGAGAGGAAGGAAATTAAATAGTATAAAAAAATTTGTTTCAATAAAATTCACATGATTAGATATTGATAGTCTCTCTACCGGAGGCTCTACTAATTGAGGTAAAGGTTTAACTTTTACAGCACTTAGTGTTTTTCTTTGGTGTTAATAGGAGAGATTCTTAGATATATAGTTACGGAACGTGTTTTTTAGCAAAAGAAAAATACCATTTATAATGTTTTTAAGTGCCATTAAGTCTGTTCCAACTCATAGTAACTCTATATAGAATTTCCAAGGAGCGGCTGGCTGCTGGGTTTGCTGGTGCGTTTTAACCACCAACCTTGTAATCAGAAATCCAGTGCTTATTCTACAGCGTCATA